TTATGATAATTGGAAGTAAGGGAGTTTTCAACTTTTTGGCAATTTTCTTTAACACAATTTTTGCAGCATATTGATTAGAGTGGAGTTTTCAGTGTAGCAATTAGTCCAGTTTTGAACTTTTCATGTGGTGCAGGTTTTTGCATCCGTTGGTCTATGGAGACTATCCTAGAGTAATGAAGAAGAATGCTGGGTCAAGGATTCCAGTCTTCACCAATGTAGAATCTGATCAAGTGAAAGGTTCATTTGACTTCATTGGGATAAATTTTTATGCCACATTCTATATTAAGGACAATCCGAGCAGTGTAGATGTGGAACTGAGAGATGTTAACGCAGATATGGCTGCAAAAATGATCCGTGAGTTCCAATTATATCCAGTATGTTATGAAACCAATGTATTCATCTTGTTTGGATATACATATGTTTGCAAGCATGTTTGGCCATGTTGCTTTTGCGGACTAAAATGCTCTAAATTACCTTTAAACTTTAATTCTTGGACTTGTAAAGTCGCCTTTGCTCATTATAATGCTTTCCAAATTTCAAAGTATCCTTCATGTTTATAGATCAAAGAGTAGAGACTAGTCAATGCATTCCACTACATATGAGTGCACTCGATATGGCTTTATTGAACTGGATGAAACTTAATCCTTAGTTTCTGATTCTGGCAGCTTTCGAACAGAATGCATCAGTATTTGAGGTAAGAGTTAATACAACAAATTTTGAAGGCTGCATGTTGGGTTGATTAGCTTTATGCATTTCTAACCATTTCATTCTTATTCAGTTTCCTGTTACACCTTGGGGTCTAAAAGGAGTGCTGGAGTATGTGAAGCAAACTTATGGCAACCCTCCTGTCTACATCCATGAAAATGGTCTCTCTCACTCTTATACACATGCACGCACGCACACACACACATTTAAATAGACAGTCATTTGACATGGACGGATACTGTTTGAATGAATTTCAACTGCTTGAATCTCACTTCAGGATCTTTTTCGTTTTTAAAATTCAGAACAAAGGAATGACCATAATAAGACATTGGATCATGGCCTACTAAAATTTATCAATTAATAACTGGTTTATTTTCCTCAAAATTTATGAATTATTATTATGCTTTAGTTTTCAACTCTGCTTTAGTTTTCAACTCACCTCAATAGGTAAAGCTTATATATGATTGGTAGATATGATCAGGAAATTAGTATCTAATAAGCAACAGGCCAATCATAGGATAAGTAGATAATGTCACTACAATCATTCTCCTATCCCCCCCCCCC